AAAAAAAAAAAAAAAAAAAAAAAAAAAACTCTTTGAAAAACAAGTCACAATTAATTCCTTGCCTTGAAATAATGGGATTGTTAATTAGCTCATTTCCACAAATACATAGTAGTTTCTCATCAGACAAAGAGGAAGTGATTACATAAAAACAATTTCCTCTTTGACCACAAAAACACATAAATACATTTCTATCAAGAATAATTACAAGCTGGGAGCAGTGACACATGCCTGTAATCCCAGCGGCCCAGGAGGCTGAGGCAGGAGAATCATGAATTCAAAGTCATCCTCAGCAATGGCAAGGCACTGAGCACTCAGTGAGACCCTCTCTCTAAATAAAATATAAAACAGGGCTGGAGATGTGGCTCAGTGGTCAAGTGGCCCAAGTTCAATCCCCAGTACCTCCCCCCCCAAAAAAGGATAAGTACATAAAACAGGCACAGTGCCACACGCCTGTAATCCCAGTGACTCAAGAAACTGAGGAAAAGAATCACGAGTTCAAGACGAATCTCAGCAACTTAGCAAGAGAGACCCTGTCTCAAAATAAAATATATATAAAGGGCTAGGGATATAGCTTAGTGGTAGAGCACCCCTGGGTTCTATCCCCACTATTGCCAAAAAAAAAAAAAAAATACCCAGGAAAGTATCTTCAAAAAATTGTATTCTTATAGACAATCACACAAATATAGAAGAATTTCTCATTACCTTCCTTGTTTATCTCGTGGTTGATTCATTATTCGACTTTTGATGACATCAGCTGGTGTTCCCAGAACAGAAGCTACCAGTCCAGAACATAAACTGTAGATACAAATTAATGAAATTGAAAGATAATATGTAAGACTTCCTATATTTTAAGGAAGGGGAATTGATACTTAAAAAGAATGGAATCCTAAATATATTAAAATAATATTCTTTATGATAGTGCTCTTTTAGCTTAAGATCAGTGCAAAATTGATTCAGTAAAGAAGTAGAAAGAAAAAGATAATATCAAAAAGAATTTCAGGCAAGGGGCTGGGGTTATGGCTCAGTGGTAGAGTACTCACCTAGCACATGCTAGGCGCTGGGTTAGATCCTCAGTACCACATACAAATAAACAAATAAAATAAAGGTTTTGTATCTAACTAAATATATATATTTAGTTAGATACATATATATTTAGTTAGATAAATTTATATATATATATATATATAAAATTTATATATATATATATATATATATATATATGAAAAAAAATGTCAGGCAACAGATCCACTCTGAGCACCTCCTGGTACCAGACATCCTTTTAGACCATTAATGAGGCAGGTAGACCCTGACCTGGAAGAGCTTACACTCTACATGGGGAGAGGCAAAGAAGAGATGAATAATTTCAGATGTTGATAATGGTATAAAAAATAAGATGGGGTAGTGTGAGAGGGAAAAACTAGGTGACAGGCAGGCAGGGAAAAGTTCTAGGGGGTGACAGCATCACTGAGTCCCCTTTGTGAAGACCTGGAGGAAGGAACAGCAAAGGACCTGAGTCCAGAGTGCTCCTGGTGTGTGTTAGTAAATATATGTATCTCTAAATATCATTGGTTCGACACTATTTTATATTCTTTGGGGGTCATCTCAATAGCCTAGAGGGATCCAGAATTTGTAAACAAGAACAGAAGCTAAATGAAATGACTCCAATGTTAAGGACAGTAGACATCTAAAAACCAATTCATTCTCATGGGTAATTTGAACTTGTGATATGGAGAGATTGAGGAAATGCCCCGGCTTGGAGTGCTTTTCTTTCTGTTCATCTCTAGAAGAGTCACATTTCTTCAAATTCTTATCTAATTCTGCCTTTGTGAGCCCTTCCAAGTGGTTATTGTTTCGCCCTCCTCTGAACCCTCCAGTGACCATTTTGTTTCAGCACTTACTATGCAGTGTTTTTATACTTGTCTTGTTCTCCTGTTGGTCAGCTCCCTAGGCAGGGGCTGGATGCACTGTTTGTGTGTCAACACAGGGGCCTACACAGCAACTTTAACACAAATTGACCCTGGGATGGCCCCATCAAGTTGTAAATATTTTGGGAGGTTTAATCTGAAATAGCCTGTAATTTTATCTCTCCTCCCTATTTTAACTACAATAAAATTTAAGAATATTACTCTTAATGAGTGTACTATTATCCTTCTCTAAGGGTGATACCACTAGATTCCTGATCGAGTGTCCCCAAGTTGGAATTTATGCCACAAAAGCCAGAAAGGGTGATAATATAAAAAGAAAAAAAAACAGGGTCATACTAAAACAATCACTTACCTGGATAAACCATGAGTAATGATATTGTCCTTAAGGGGTGTATTCAATATCAAGTAGTGCTTAACTGTATCGTAAGTGGTTAAATCTGGCAATGGAAAAAGAAGGTTTAAATATTCATTTATGCAACAGTGAATGTCTTTTGTGTAAAGAGTATACTGGCTTGTGGCAGGAATGTGTACCGGAATGAAATATGGCATTCATTCAGGCAGAGGATGGAGGAAGAGGAAAAGAGGAAGAGGTGACACTTGGATGTATCATTTGAATACCTGAATCCAGCTATGACTAACCTGAGCTCAACCCCTGGAATTTTTAGCCAATTAATAAATTCATTTTGGGGTCGAAGTTAGGTTGAGTTGAGACTCCATCATTTATAAACAAGTGGCTCCACAGATGGAGAGAAGCATTTAAATTTGCTCTGTATCTATAAGAATATATTGCCTAGACTTGGTGACTATTTAGAAATAAGAAACAAATGAGAGGAAGAGCCAAAAGTTATGCCCAGGTTTCTCACTTGTATAGCAGAAGGGATTGTTTTATATTTTGATATTATAAAGAATGGAAACCAAGATGGTTTTATATAGAAGCCTGATTTGGACACATTCAAAGGAATATACTTAAGATATCCAAAAAAAGATACTCAGTAAGTAACTAGAACTTGGAAGAAAAATCTGGGCAATAATCTTAGGCAACAAATTGATAAACTACAATCAGAAAGGTTCTCTGAAAACCAAAATATCCAGTAATAATGTGATATACTAGACACAAATGGATAGAATAGCAAAACAGAAAATAGATTTACTTCCTTTAAGTGATACAGTACTGGAACTCTTGAAAGTGCTCCTTATAAATTTCTTAGAATCATATAATTGGACTTAGAAAGGATTCTTTCATTGACTAATTCATCAAATGTTTAATGACTTTGCATGAAGGATGGGGAAAATAAAGATGAATAAAAACACAGTCCTTGCCTTCAAGAGGCTTGTATGTAGTGGAACAGGCTCGTATTTAGTGGAACATACAGACATTAGAAAGCAATGAAATGAGCTACAAGCAGCAGCATTAGGCACAGGGAACTATAGAAACACATAAAAGAGCATCTAAGATAACATGCTGTGGTTAAAGGGATTGTGGAAGGTTCTGGAATAATACTTTGGTGGAGAAGAATTCTTCAGACAAGAATATTACTCTTAATAGAGGATCTGTCAAGGAAAACTAAACAGAAGAACAGGGAAGAGGACAGAAAGGAGAGGGATGAAGAAGAGCTATGCACGTGCAGGAAGTGGAACCTTTTGGCTCATGACTTGTTGCTTCACTCCAACAGGATCAATGAACCGTTCAGTTCTCTGAAAGCACAGGGCAAATCCTACAGACCATCTACATTATGCTCCAAAATTCCCACTTTATATTCTGTGGGTAATGAGAAGCCAGTGCCAGGTTTTAGGGGCATCATAACATGTTCAGATCCTTGCTTTGGATGACTCACTCTGGATGTTGGGTACAAATTTGGAGGGAGAGACCAGATGGATGGCTGTGGCAGTGGTCTAGTTGAGAGGTTCTGATGGTTGGCACTGTGGAAATGGTTACTTTAAGGATAATAGGTGCATTCTGGAGAGGGGGAAACTTTTAAGAACTCAGAAGATGGTAGTGGTGAGTGTGGTGGCCGCCTTCTCATGCACAAACATGATTGACTGCTCTCAGAGATGAAGCCCAAGGAGGGCAGGAATGAGGCTTTCTTTTCTGCACCTCAAATTCTGTGCTCTTGTTTTTCGAAACAGGAAAGATAAGCAGCTTTCTTTTTTTCCACCGTTGCTGTGACCTTTCCTATATTTACTTCCTGTGAAACTTTTGTCTTCCTTTTGCTATATGTGCATCAGCATCCATGGTTCACATCTTTATTATCAGTTAACAACTATTATCTCAGTCTGATGATGGCTGTGCTGTTAACCTCTTCTTACAAAATATTTTAACATGTTCTATATTTTGAAGTTAAAATTGCTCTCTTAGTGGAGTCACCTATCAAGCTATAATTTCTTTTTTTTCAGTAATGTTGTGTTTATTTTTTAAAAATTTGTTCTTTTAGTTATATATGATAGTAGAATGCATTTTGACATATTATACCTACATAGAGTATAACTTCCCATTCTTCTGGTTGTACATGATGTGGAATTACACTGGTTATGTATTCATATATGAATATAGGAAAGTTATATCTGATTCATTCTACTATCTTTCCTATTCCCATTCCCCTTCCCCTCCCTTCATTCCCCTTTGTCTAATCCAAAGTACTTCCATAATTTCTTTATTTAAAAAATACTTTTTCTCTCATATTTTCTCTAATGTTCAATGTAACTAAGAACTTCACCAGTAGTATATATTACTATTTTAATAGCGTGTCTTAAATAAAAATAAATTAGTATTTTTCTGAGGTATCTTTTTAAAAAATTTAATGTTCTTCCAGCTTTATTCAGGTCTAACTGACAAATAAAAATTGTTCATATTTAAGGCATAAGAAAAGAAATTGAGAACTGAAAATGAGAAGCAAAGGGTAGAAATGAATAAGAGATTGTTTACATTTCCTGGCCTGGGTGCCAGTCTGAACAAGGTGGATTATATAGGAATAGGATTGCCAGGGGTAAGGATTTATACATTGTGGATATAATGACCATCAATCTTAAAAGGAGGTAAGGATTAGAGAGAAGATTAGAAATAGTTTGGTCTTTTCTCCTTATTTCCATAATTGGTTTTTCTTAAGAAGAAAATCCTTGTCATACATTACTGTAGAATAAGGTAAAAATATTCCAGGAAATATATTCAATTATAATAAACATAAAACATATGGAGCCTGTGGCTGATATATGTTATTATAAATAATGAAATAAAAATGTTCATATCCCTGATACAAGAGCATGCAAGAATTAAGTTGTTTGAACTTCTCAGAATTCAATAAAGTTTTCATTACCTCCCATATTCACCAGTGCTGCTCTTTGTATATTGGGGACCCAGCCTGCCCACAGCCCACGTATTCCTCCTTCAGCTAAGATTTTTGCAAAAGCATGATGCACGCCACGGAATCTAAGGAGAATAATAATGAAATGAGAAAAGTTGGTGTACTCTTGAGAATGGAATGCAATCCAGTAAGCTTCTCCTATAACTGTTATAGAGTAAAATAACATTTACTCAGAATTGTTAGAAATTAAAGGAATTCGTGTAAGTCTAATATGCAGATAAATTTATTAATCCTTTAGAATGCCAACATTTGATTTAAACATTTTTAAAACATATCATGATAAGTTGTGTCATCTTCTCAGATTATTAAAAAAGGTCAAAATATCTTTCTTGACATATCATTGGTAGGCATATTAAATATAGGAGGAAACAGTGACAGAACTTCTGGATGCCTCTTACTAGTGTTGCAGGGGACGTGCAAATTTTTAAAACTTGTCAAACAAGGGCTAAAGATGTAGCTTAACAGTAAGGCCCTTGCCTAGCATGTGTAAGACCCTGGGTTAGATGTCTAACATCACAGTAAAAAATAAAAAATAAAACAAACAATAATAATAAAAAAGAAAATCACTCTCCTATAACCTCATAAAAGAAAGAATATTTATAGATCAAAAGTAGAATGCACAATATTCTAAGAATTTTAAAAATTAAATGATTTGAGCTTTATGAAAATTTGCTATCCTATCTTTATTTTGCCCACATTTCTGTAGACAGGTGAAAAATGGTGCTGAAGCATGAATCAAATCTGGGAGCCTCTGATGTAAAAGAAAAGTCTGGGCTTGATATGGACAGAAAAAAATCTGGAGTCGAACGCCACCTTTACCACTTACCAGCTGTATGGATTTTACTAAGGTATTTTACTCTCTGAATCACATCAAAAATATGACATTCTTGAGATGCATAATTGCTATTATACTACAAGGAATCACAAATGATCACTGTAGCTAAAATGTATTGTACCTTTACTAAGTAGCAGTCACTTTATACATGAGATGCATTTTAATCTTGAAAGGTTTCTGAGGTATGTGTATTATTATTCCAATTTATATGTGAGGAAACTAAGGCTAGAATGGTTAAGGAATTTGACTACTATTACAGAGCTAAAATGTAGTAAAGGCTGAGGCTGGATTGGACCCTTGGGCTGATCCAAAGGATTATGCTCTTTACTACAACATTAAGTATAGTCAAACCCAAAATTTCCAGCGTTAGGGATAAAAAAGAGGATTAAAACCCTGGGGAATCAGTTTAGAACATAGCTTTTTATTTTGGTACCAGGGATTAAACATCAGGAGCATTTGACCACTGAGCCATATCCCCAACCCTATTTTGTATTTTACTTAAAGACAGAGTCTCACTGTGTTGCTTAGCACCTCACTTTTGCTGAGGCTGGCTTTGAACTCCCAATCCTCCTGCCTCTGCCTTCCCAACACTTTTCTCTCCAGTCAAGGCTACATCAATTCTCTCTATTCAAAGTCATTAGAAGTTGTTACAGAATGACCAAATGGGCTCTGTAAACTCCACGTTTAAGTCAGAGTTGTGTCTTTTCTCCTCTGCTAGGCATCTACCCATTTTCTGAAGGCTGAAGGGGAGATGGGGCAATAGCAGCCCAACCTTATCCTCCAGCATCTTCTAGAGAAGTGAGTACAGAGAAGTGTTCAGGGGTGGCCTCCTAAAGATGGCTCCAAACCCTCCTCCTCCACCTCTGGCTTTGCTGCAGACCTGGAGGATTCAGACTCCATTCAGATTATCCTGCACTTCCCTCTTTCCTGGAAATGGTCTATCTATATGCAAAATTTGGCTCTTTCCCAGGGGAAACTGGCTAAGTGGCTCTTCTAATAAACTGCCCTTTGAGGAAAGGCTGACTTTGCTAATATAGGCTAATGTAATAGGAAGATTTTATATCACAGAGAGGCATAATTAAAAAAAAATCTTCCTTAAAGGGCCTTAGAATGTAGGAGGAATTAGATTAGAGAAGACCATGGGAACGTAAGATTGACCTTGTTAATTCCCTTCTTTCTGGAAGACAGCAAGAAAAGCAATGTTATGCAGTTAGGCATGTTTACCATCACGAAAACCTTTTGAGAGAACCCCTTTTAAAGATGAAAATAAACTGGAAAGGTTAAGTGAATGACACCATACAAACCACAGTGGCAAAGCTGGGATGCATAACAGGGCAAACCTTAATAATAAAATTCTTTATATCAACCTGCAATAGAAGACAAATCTAACAGTGTTGGCTGGGATAGCAGCAAAGAGTTATGAACACATGACAGAGAAGATAGACACTTTGTCATGCAAAGAAAAGATATAGCTCAGCTCTCCTCTTCATAAATATAGCTTCCAAATTAAAAAAAAAAGTATTAATACCTTTACTGAATACTGGATTGGAAAAAATATAAATTCATTAAATAAATATTCAAAATATGATGATATCAAAGGGAAGCAAAAGCACCAATTAACTGGAAAACTTACCTCAATGGTTTTCCTTCAAGTTTCCTTTTTCCTTCCATTTGCATCTGAACCTTCACTAGGTCAGCTGGGTTGGCTAAAAATTGGCCGATAACACCAGCCATCATCCCTCCAATGACTGACTTCCTAATTGTAAAAAGAGACATTGTTTTTAAAGTTGCCATTAATTTCACAAATTTTACAGTGAACCAGTACTAAGCTGGGACAGGCCCTGGGTAATAAATTTAAGACAAAGTGAAAAAAAAAGGATAGACCCAGATGAACCACAGAGAAAAATAGATGGTTTGGTTGTTTAGTGACAGGAGGGTAAAGGACCAAAAGGAACTAAAATTAAGATTTGCACTTTCAGATCTTACATGGCCTGAAATCCAGAGGAAAGGGTGGAAAGCTTCTAAGATATAAAAACAATAACATAAAAAATATGTTATTGCAGAGAAAAACTTGAATCATTTAGCTGTAGTTTAATTCTGACTACCAGATGAGAAAAATAGCAGAGATGTAATCAGCCTCATAGAAATGGGTAAACCAAAATTTTAAAACTACTACTTTAGTAGTTTTCCAAGTGAAGGGCTTTGAAAATACTGCTCTTTGTGAAGAAACTTTTCCCATTCCTAGTCTAGTCTTTTCCTCCCCCATCAGCCAACAGTGAGCAAAACTAGACAAAATGACTATAATCATAAATAAGGAGCTGAGTCAACAGATTGCACATGAAGAATTTTTAACCAGTAGTTTACACTACAAAAAGTAAAGTCTATAGTAACTTATGTTTCCCTTAACTGCATAAAGATAGTTTTAATTGATTCCCCTTAAATTAATTACTGGGGAGGTTGCGTATGTTTACATGTTTAATGAACACTTATATTTCTTCTTTTGGAAACTATTGACAATCCTGTCCTTATTCTTCCATTGCATTCTCTATATTTTTCATTGATTTGTAGGAGGTCTATTTGTATTATATATAGTAACCTATTTTTTATGGTTTCTGTTTTATATATTCTAAGTGACAGGACATAACATTCATTATCTTATCAACTCCTAAAAAAATACAAAAGCTTAATGGTAGCTATTACTTCTATAGCTGAGGAACTGAAGATTTAAAAAAAAAAAAGTGAAGCCCAGGTAACACAGTAGGAGAGTGGAAAATGGGGGAGTTCATCTCTGTCTGATTCTAAATCACAATGTTCTAAGATATGCACTGGGAGGACTAAAGAAGGTACTCTGCTAAAAGACCAGCATAGGTTGGTCACTGGAAGTCACTATGGTTCTTAATAAGCAATGACATGATGACAATATGAGTCTTAGAAAGATTAATGGCATGAAAAAATATGTTATTGCAGGGAAAAACTTGAATCAAAAGATAGCCTAGAAGTTGAGGGTCCGAACTATATGTGCTGATTTGGAACTGAGCAGCCTGCAGCTGTGGTTGAGATTGCAGGAGTGGAAGAACACAGCAAACAGGAGGAGAGCAGAAATCCAGTTCAGTGGACACTAGGTGAACAGAAACTGTTCCCAGCATGGTGCTCTTCCCTTGCAAAACAGTGATGACCAAGACTGGTCCTTGACTTTCAAGGAGCCACCTCAGTCTTGCCAGCAGGGAACAGCAGTAAAGAGGCAAAGAAAAAACCAGAAGAGATACTGAAAGAGTCAAAGAGTACAATATCCAGAAAGTCAAAGATGGAGGTACTTACAGGAGTGTCAGAGGAACCTACATTTAAAGGGAAATGAGGATTTGGTACAAAGTCAATTTGATACATTCTTCATTTTTACATTCTGAGAATGAAGTATATTAGTTTATGTCTTCAAATCCCTAAATTCTTATGCATTTTCCCATGCTTCTAAATTTGCAATATAAACATTAGGGAATGAGAATATTCTAATGGAAAATTGTTTGCTAAAATAGGCTTGTTTAAAAAAGACAAATGCTCACAGAATGTATGTTTATTACTATGCCTTCCTTATGCTCCAAAAATAATTAAAAGAGCCCAAAACAAAATTATATAGGAAACTTGCCATCCTCTGTAATTATAGGACTGCCAAATCTACTAACAATTATTTTTAAAGAAATTTAAAATCATTCAAAAAGGAGGCTAAGTACTGACAGAAAACAAGCAAGCATTTTGCTTAAGTTTAGAAGGCTAGATTTTACTATTCTTATTTTTATCTAATGAAACTTGTACAAAATGAGAATGATGGTTTACTTCCTTGACATAGCCTTAAAGAAATGGATCACACACTAACTTCTAATAAATAAAAGCCATACACAGTGTGTGTGTGAGGGGGAAACATGCATTAACCACATGTCAGTTTGCTGGAGAAAGAAAAGTTATTATTTTCATCTGACTAAAATCCAAAGGGAAGGGTGGTTGCTTCATTTTTATGTGTCTTCTTTCTAAGATACATTTTTTCATTTAGAAATTTGATTCTGGGATCAGTGATGTCTGACTAAAATATGGGTATACAGGTAATTCAAATGCACTAAACATGAAAAATTTTAAGGATTTTATCAGATACGTAAAACCTGACACTTACCAAATCATATTATCAAAAATAGCATTATTCTCAATTTCTAATATTGAGAATTCTAATATTAGAAATTGAGAATAATGTCTTTTGAGTGTTATAACCATAAAATATACATAATCCAGTGGTTTAATGTGTTATATTTATAGTCACCAAACCAAGATAATAATAATTGCTCCCTTATAATTCTTTCATTATTAAAATATTAAATATTTCTATATATGCACATTATGTCTGTTTACAATTTTCAGTAAACACTCTATTATTTGGATTTATATTGTAATTATTTGTTTTTTAAGCCTAAGCAATTGTAATTGTAACAAATATACAGTTTTACATAAATAGATAAACAGATAGTCTTTGAGGCTATAGCACATTATTTTCAAAACAAAACTTACCAAAGGGGATAATGCTTATCTTCACTTTTGCCAAATACAACCTCCCGGAGATGTTCATATGTGACCATCCGACCTCCAGAGTATACTGTATAAAATAGATCATTAAAAAGGCCAAATTCAGTTCTATGCTGAAAAAACAGGAGAACAATCTACCCTGACCTAGACACTCTCTCTAGTTGCATCCTTCTCTTATGTAATTTATGTTCCTGAAACAGTCTTGATATTTCTCAAAATGGGGTAGGACCCTCACTGATCTTTCCAGAATAGGTTCTTCCTTCTCTGTTTTGCTAACTCCTCCTAGTCTTTCAGAATTCAACTCCAGTATATTTTTTCAGGAAGTGCTGAAGGAAAGATACTGAGGGAAAGATTCTCCAATCTTTCCCTCAGTATTCTAGGCAAGCTTTGCACACACTCACATAGCAACTATCATACTCATTAGTGATCAACTTGTTCTTCTTGTTGATCCTTCCATCAGAACACAAGCTTCAGGCAGGTTCTGTTTGTTTTTCTTATTATGTCAGATGCCCTCATATGTACCTTGGCACACAACAGGTATTTTCATTCAGTTAACATATATAACTTCACTGAAGAATTTGCTATATTAACATAATGTTTTCAGTAACATTTCAAACTCAAAAAAATGAATCTTATTGGTAAAGCAAAGATGGTGGTAAAAAAAATACGAATGAAAAGAGGTGAAACACAAAACAATAGCGCACAAAGGAGAAAATATTTTAAAAGATGGAAAGTAAAATTATTAAAATCAGCACTTGGTATTCATACAGAGAGCTTTTCTTGATATTTCAGCAAGTTTTAGTCCATATTTTAAGATAATCGTGAATATTTGAAGTGTGAAAACGGTAATAGTCTATGCATGCTTGTGGTTATTTCTTGAGAAATATGCTCTTTCTCATCTGAAGAATTGCATCTTTAAAAATATTATGCCAGTAAATATTCAGTCTGGGCAATTTTCTGATCAAGGGTCTATCGCTATATGCTTAAGGAAACATTATAAATGAAAAATACTAAAATACCACACTTATCCTGCTTCCACTAAGTTGCTGAGGTTGGCTGCAAACTTGCCATCCTTCTGCCTCAGCCTCCCAAGCAATTGGAATTACAGTGTACCACTACATATAGCCAGTTGCTACTATCTTACCACCTTTACCACTAATGACCCACAGAGCTAGTTAGGTGCCCTGGAGAAGTAAGGCAGAAGTCACCTGTGTTGCCTTTTCCCTGTGGCTAGAAGTGGATGAGGCAGGGATCTCTGCTCTCTTTCAGAGCAGCCTGGTCTCTGATGTATGGGACAGAGGAGATCTGGCATTACAGTAAATATATCTGAATTTTCAAAGAACATTAAAAAAAGGTAAATCTGTGTTTGAAGTTTCTGATGTGAAAGAAAGTAATCATTGTTCATGTTTCTTTTTTCTTAAACCATTAAAAAACTTTTTATTAGGAATATTTTCAAAGAGAAAAGTAAATAATATATAACTTACCATTAAAATTTATCAACTGCAAAATATACTTCATTCTTTTTCTTAATTATTTTGAAGTACTTCCTAGATATCATGATAGTTCATCCCTAAATACTTTAGTATGGATTTCTAAAAATTTAGGATAGTAACTCCTTAGTAACAATAGATAATTTTTTCTTCCTAAGAGATTGATTATATGTTCATTTATCATCAGTAGGGGAAAAAAATTTAGCTGGCTTTTGGATACAGCTAAATGGAAACACAGAGGAGACAAACACAAGACTCATAACAAACTTACCAGCTAGAATCAAGATAAATACCTACGTGTCTGTAAATGGCGGGCGTCACTCCTTGCCAAAGCTTTAGAAAGCCTTCCTCCTGAATGATTCCTAGGGCCGTGCGCACCATGCCCCTATAGGGGGCAGATTCTCTTGCATTGTCTCCCAACCGAGCAAGAGCAGCTTCTCCTTGCATTTGGAGTCGAGTTTTTGTAAGATCGAGGGGAAAGGTTGCTAACAAAAAACAAACAAGCGAGGGGAAAAAACCCACAACATTCAGAGAAACAAGCAAAAATTCTAAAATCATAGGACTAATGTTTTCCCAAGATTATTGGTTGTCAAATTTTAGAATTACAGATTTTCTAGTCCCATGCCCATGTACTCTAATTTGGCAGACTTACAAGGGTTTCAAATCAGTTGATTCTCAGACACTACCAAATTTAAGAATCAGGGTACCAGAGCAAACTGGATCACCAATCAGAAATCAAAAAGTGAAAAAACCCTTGAGTTCTTTTCATTCCAAAATTTCAATCAATAATCTACTTTAGTAACTTTAATTTTTTTCCCCTACAATGAAAATAAATATCCATATTCTGTGGTGTCCTCCTGATTGCAACCATGATTGCTTAACAACTGTTGTAACTTTAGAACACTGTACTATGTATTCTTATGAACTATTACAAATGCAAGATAAAGCAGAATTTTATAATTTCATGGTTGATTTTTCACATGCAAATGAATCACAGCCCTGATATTTGATGTACAGAAGATTCAATGGAGTTCATAATGTCTTCTTTTATATAGAAGGGTGGCATGCTCAATATTTCTTAAATTAAGACATATTAGTTGTTTTCCAGCACTGATAAGTTTAAGCGTGGCATATTTGTAGGCTCCTTACAAGTTATCAACTACATTTGTAAAACCTTTTTCTGTTTACATATTGAAGTAGAGATGGATCTTTTACCTTAAAACAGAGTTAAAGTAACCTGACCCATATAAGGAAAATCAAGCTTATAACTTGATTTTATTCACATTAGGACAGGTTCATGAACATTACTGACATAAGATTTTAATGATCACCACCTAATACAAATCTTCAACATGCCTTTTCTTTCTCTCTCTCTCTTCTTCTTCTTCTTTTTTTTTTTTTTTTCTTTTTTGTGGTCCTGGAGATTGAATCCAGGGTTTACCACTCAACTATGTCCCTGGACCCTTTTATTTTTTGAGACAGGGCCTACATAAGTTGCCCAGGCAGGCCTCAAATATGCAGTTCTTCTGTCTCAGCCTCCAGAGCAGCGAGGATTAAAGGCCTGTGCCACAGCACCCAATTGAGCACACCTTTTCTAAGTGGAGACAGAGTGGGGAGAAGGAAAATAATATTAAATATTACCACTTTGGAATATTTTGCCAATAGTTTCCCTGAATCAGAATTAACTTGTATATGGAAAATTAAGCAATGTTGTATTGACATAGAACCTGAAGAAAAGTCACAAGAAACAGGAGCCTCTAAGTACAAATTATGCCTCTCAAAATATTTTTTTTCTTTCAACTCTATGCTTTGGGGTCTGATCCTGAATCAATTTGTAAAACCTTGAATCAATTTGTAAAATTTGTACTCAGAATCATCCGATATTGTGAATCCCTTGCTTCCCATCTCCATTCCCCACACAGTTCTCTCCCTGATTTTTTTACAAGAGCAGTCTTCCTGTATAAAAAGCCATTGAGTCATAAGGAGAAACATCAGTTAAAAAACAAACTGGAAATACATCTAATTATTCAGCAATCTCACTTTAGATTTCTTTTAAAGTTGATGAATTTTATTTCAGGAAAAACAATGAAAAATAAAATCCCTCCATCAGCTTTGAGAGGAAAGAGGACAGGGTAGGGGCAAAGGGCAAGTGTGAGAGTACAAAAGACAAACAACAGCATGTGCTGGCTCTGCCAGAAATGCAAAATAAACTCATGTTAGAACAAGACTAACATTCACAAATGAGTAATGCATCAGAGGTATTCCTCTTTTGTGTTTTGTTTTTTTTTTTTTAATGGGCAAGAAAATGTAAGGGTAATCTTGAAATACACAGTTAAAGCTTCACAGGGAACACACAGGCACTCTACTCACAAAACCCTTGGAGGAAACACCACCTGATCATGCAAGGGCATCATAATTTCCCTCTGGGTGGTCTCTTAAAGTTTGCTCTGACTCATTTAGCAGATCAAACAGTTCTTCTAGGCTCTTATGATAACCTAAAAATAGCTTCATCATAATAAGTAGCACATTGTAATTGTCTTTCTCTGCATGTCTTCCCACCAGCCTTGTAAGAAGGTCAGAACAGGAACTGTTCAACTGTATATCCTCAGGCCCTACTACTGTAGTAATTACAATGATGTCGCAATTAATAGGTGCCCTGCCTTGAATTTAGTAATATACATATCATTGACTTCTCAGGATCCTTCCTGTAAAGTAAACACAATATAGATGAGTTCAACTCAAAGAGGTCAGGTAACTGGAAGATGTTAAATCCATGCTCAACAATGAATGGTTAATAATTGAAGTCCCACAAGGTAAATCCACAACTTGGATTTAAAAGACAATGAGACTAAGTGTGTAAATCTTATCAAAGACGATTCCAATAAGGATGAAAAATGAATTTTTTTTTAAAAAGCCATCCTTACCAAAAGGAAAATGATTCATAGAGAGGAATGACAGCTCATGAAGCTTCTAAAAGTATATACATTCGGACACAACAGCACATCTCTAAGGGAGATTAGACGAAATTGGACCGAAAGCACCTCAGAGACCTTCAATTCCTTCTCCCACAGCTGGCCTTGCCTCCACCCTGCTGCTTCGGCCAGGCAGGCGTGCAAGAAGAGGGCGCAACCTCTTGGGATGCACACAGCCTGGAGCGAAGCAGCGCGCCCATCCCTCCCCCAGCGCCACGGCGCGGCGACTTGCCGAGGAGGCCCAGGTGTGGGCGGCCGGGTACCTAGCTCGGCCACGGTAGCCGCGCAGCCGGACAGTATGAACTTGCTCGCTCGGGGCCATCTCTGGGCGAGTGGCAAAAGCCTCTCCTCATCCTCCGGGTTAGACATTCAGCAGCAGGTGTGGACGACAATGCACCCCTTCTCGCCGGTGCACCCGCTGCGCTGGCCTGCCAACTTGCCACGGCGGCCTCTTCTCAACCCGCAAGCGGTCGGGTAGAGACCATTTCCCCCAGAAAGGCTCGGTGAACCCGCGCCTTCCTAGCAGCCCCAAACCAGAGTGGTCCAGCGGCCCCGGTCAAGAGCCGAAAAACAAAGCGGAGCTTTGAGGCTTCTGGGAAATGTAGTCCGCCGGACTCCGCGACTTCTCTGATTGGCGGGTAGAGAGACGCCGGTTAAGCAGTTGTCCCTAGGTCTCCATGGCAACAACTCTTGCTCCCTCCCTCCGGCCCCGCCCCGCCCCGCCCCGTCTAGCCCAGCCCAGCCCAGCCCTTGCCTGGTTTTGGTGGTAGCCAGGATTTGAAATAGAAGAGGAGGTGGGAGGGAGCGATGATGCAAACATCACCTAAAAATTGGGGCGGGGAAAGGAAGTTACAATTACGAAAGAGAATTAGCTGCAAAAGTTGGAGCGGAAAGATTGGGAGACCCGGAGGGTCTTCCCTAGCCCACAGGGTACGAGAAAGTGCCAGGTCAGCAGGACTTTGTCAAACTTCTCTCATTTTTTAAAATGATGGAGCAAAATACAGAATTGATTTCCCCAACAGTGATTATAGCCCTGGGTTGCGTTGTTCTTTTCTTATGCCTTCAACGAAAGAATTTGCGTAGACCTCCGTGCATCAAGGGATGGATTCCTTGGATTGGAGCTGGATTGGAGCTTGGGAAAGCCCCTCTAGAATTTATAGAGAAAGCACGAATCAAGGTACGTGGCGCGCAGGCGGGTTTTTCAGAGAAGTTAACATTTTACTTTTTATTTATTTTTTCATTAGATTTCAGGTGCAATATTAGAACACCGGGAATATACCTCCTTCCCGCAATTAAACATTGTTAATAAAGCATTTTTAATCCCTCTACCAACCATCAACAACCATGTCCTACGCAAGGTTTTGCGAAGGAGACCAAATACAATGCAGCTTGCATCTGCCTTACTGGAAGTAGAGATTAACTTTTAAGTGTTAGCTACTTCGTCGAAGTTAATTTCGAAGTGAATACATTTTAACTAAATACTTGCAATAGTTGTGAAAAACAGAAGTGTAATGTGATTTAAATTTGTGAAAATGAGTGATAAATTCATATCCAAAATGGAGCTAATACTAGGATACTGTAAAAATTGCTTGCAAAATTGATTTTTACAAATTTAAGGGGTACTGTTTTTCTTGCTGGTATTGTTATTGATGATGGGTGGTTGTAATAGATATTTTTTGTTCTTAAAGTGTCTTTCAAATGTTTAAGCATTTTAGGGAAAAAACATTTGCCAGCCTTTTAATTTCTATTCAATTTCCAGCCACCAAGATTTTGTGGTGATGCTAGCCATCATCATTATTGTGTATTGTACTACAATATTTTCTGTGCTTCCTCCACATAGGTTTCTATCTGGTTAGCCCAATTTACAAAATAATTCTATATATAGTAGTAGCATTATATATACTTTTGATGGTTTACCTTAAAAATTTCTGAGATTCCAATTTGGTTTAAAATCTTGGGGAATAGTGAAGAGAACTAAGATGAAAATAAGAGTAACCAGAATATCACACCAGAAATGAAACATTAAAATTTTACAGTATATTATTTTGCCTTTTTTCTGTGCATTTATAAACTATCGAGTAAATAACAGCGGCATAATGCTGTAATTCTATTTTGTGTCCCTTTGAATTTAAAATTTAATGTGAATAATTTCTCCATGTCAGTATTTCTCTGAATCTTTTTAATGGCTATATTTCATGATATAAAGATATGATAGCATACTTAAATCTCAGTAGTTGCATGTTTAAGTTGTTGCCACCCTTTTTCTTTATCTCAAGCATTGTTTCTTAGCATGTGTGTATGTGGTCTTACCTTTTGCACTTATCTGATTGTTTCCTCAGAATAAGTTTCTAAAACTAGAATTGCATATGAGAAAATGCACACTTAAATTGGGTATCATATTACCCTTGTCCAAAGATGTAACAATATATACTTTTTAACTCCCTTTGAGTGTATGGATTGCATGGCTTCTTATATCCTGGACCATACTGTATACCAATATTCTTCATAATTTTTGCTAGTCCAATAGATGAAAAAAGGTATCTCCTGAAGGAACACTCCTTTGTCTCCTACAGCCTTTTGTAGGCATCTGATTCTGATAATTTTTAAGGATTTTTTAATAAGATTGATCAGATTAAATATTTGTAAGGATTCTGTAGTTTTCTTTCTTTCTTTCTCCCCCCACCCCCTTTTCTTTCTCTTTCTTTCTTCTACAGTGCTGGAGATGGAGCCCAGGACCTCATGCATGTTAGCCAAGCACTCCACCACTGAACCACATCTCCAGCCCTCTGTAGCTTTTCTTAAATGAAACAAGTTGTATGAGTCAACTATAATATTATGTGACAGTACAAATTACCTTTTTCTAGTATTAAAATATAAAAGATGACTATATTGTTTTATATTTGATACTGAATGTTATTATGCTTCACTCTTGCCTCTTCCCCTTGTACTGGTCATCTGGGCAGGATGCTAAGAAAGAGTGGGAACTCCCATCTTTGGTGCCAGGGGAGATTTAAACTGTACAAAACATCAACTCTTACTAGGGGATAAAATTGATCAAATTGTGTTATATTGTGTGAGTAGCAACAAATCTCACTATTGTGTAAAAAATAAGCAACTATAAAGAAAAACAAATTAATTAAGATGCTATTGGGAATACAAAAAAACTTGGAGGTGAATAATATATTGATTATCTTGATTGTGGCAGTTTTACAGATATGTATATATGCCAATTTTAGCATACTGTATACTTTATTATGCAATTTATTGTATGCCAATTATACTTAAATAAAACTATTTTTAAAATAACCCTCAAGCAGAAATGTTCAGATCAGCATTTCTGACTGTAATCCCCCCCCCCCCGGGGAGATTTGCTTTCTTAAGTCATTTTCAGATCATCTTGGGAGACAAGTGGTTTTCTTCCCAGAAAAGCCCATTGTGTAAGTAATAAACCTTTCCATATACCATTCTTGTGTGGGTGACATCATCAGTCTTGACATTGGAACCAGATTTTGAGTGGAGGGTGCATTCTGCTTTCTCATGGTAGCTGCAGTAGGTTCTAATTGGTAGCCTTGACAGAAAATTGCATTTAAGTGGCTACTGTAGGAAACACTAACTGCATACTGAACCACTTAAAGTCTCAGCATAAGAGATTGCCCCCTCAGCTTCTTCTGCCCCTGGAGAAGGCAGAGAAGAGAAAACTTTGAGGACTGTAAAAATCCTCCCTTTATTTTTATTTAGTAATTGAGTAGATGATGCATCAATATAGTTCAATTTTTTTGAAAAAAATAAAAACTACAGTGAAACATCTCTCTGACCTCTGTTTCATTGCCACCCAGTTCTTACCCCTTATTCCCAGTCTTGGTAATTCTAATTCATTTCTTATATATCCTTTCATAGTTTCTTTAACCGTGTACAAACAAATACAATTATAGATTCTTATTATCCATCTTTTATACGCAAAATGCATCATACTACCACTGTTTTTTGGTTAAAAGATGCTGAAATATTTACTTATCAGTACTATCTAGAACTTTCAATGTTTTTTTAAGATGTATGGATATACCTAACTTTATTTAACATGTTTCCACATTGATAATCATGTGGGGTATATTTCTAAAATAATTCATAATGATCCCCACCTTTTGCAACCCATTCCCATGTATAATTATTACCTCCTGTGAGGTGTCAGCAGAACTTATTAACTCCCTTCTAATGAATAAAATATGGCATACATGATGGGATGTGACTGTGTCCTTAAGCCTTCCTTTGGATAATAGACTCTATTTTTTTCTCAACTCACACATTTTGATGGAGAGACCCATAAGGTAGGAAACAGAGGGAGGCCCTGGCCCACAGCCAGTTAAGAACTAAGGATTGTGGAAAACTGAATCCTGCTGCCCACCATGACCTTGACAGCAGGTCCTACCCTAATTGAGCACTAGATGGCTGATGCTCTATTTTTAGTTAGAAGCTCACAAAAGGAAAAAGAAAAAAAAATGTTGTAAACCCAATATTTGAAAATTTTGAGACAGAATTTTGTTTATATTTCAAACTGAGTCTGGTTATATCAGTCTTTAATTATGATTTACAATTTTTTAAGCATAAGACTTTGATAAAATCTCTAGTGTTTTGACTATGAAAGTAATTTTAAAGGTCTAATAGTATGTGTCTCAGGCTGCCCATTGACAGTTAAGGTCATCTATTTGTTGACATGATGGAAACACTATTTGCAAACAATATCCCAAAATGCATTAGGACAAGTTTGGATATTTTGTAAAAATGATAGTGAATAATTTCATAAAACTCTTGGAAAGTTGTTGACACAATTAAGCATCATTATTTTTTCAGACTTTATTGAATGAAACGGTATCTGCCTCCCACCACATTTATAGTGCTGAAATCCATAAATAAGAGTATAAGATACAGCTAGCAAACCGACCTCCCTCAAACACAGTTCTCTATATTAAAATGGCTTAACTAAGGACACTATTTTCCCATTGAAGAGCTATTTGATGGCCTTACATGTAGTAATGTATCATGAGTTAAAATCAACTTTCTCTAATATTATTAGAGCTATACCAATTTTCTTTGGTTTTCATGATACATCTTTTTCTATTCCTTATTTTTCTGCTGTTCTGAGTCTTTATACTTTAACTTGTCTCATGCGAAATACAAAATACGTTGAGCTGAATGAAGAAAAAAGTAACATCAGAGTTTATATCAGTAAGTACTTATATTAGAGAAAAACAAAAATCTGAAGTTAATAATCTGAGCTTCTGCCTCAAAACTCACCCAAAGCAGCCAGATAATCCCAAAGCAACAGGGGAAAGAAATTTTAAAAAGCAGAAAAAAAAAAAGGAAATTGAAAACAGAAAAAAAGCAATGGAGAAAATCAATGAAAGAAAAAATTGGTCTTTTTATTTATTTTTTTCTTTTTTTTCTCTTTTTATAAAAATGTTTATTTTTGTTCTTTTTAGTTATACAGGACAGTAGAATGCATTTTGAAATACACACATGGAGTATGATATAACTTCCCATTCTTGTGGTTGTACATGATGTGGAATTACACTGGTCGTGGATTCGTATATGACCAGAGGAAAGTAATGTCCGATTTGCTCCACCGTCTTTCCCATTCCCACCCCTCCTCCTTCCCTTCATTCCCCTTTGTGTAATCCAAATACTTCTGTTCCTCCCCACCCCACCCTTATTGTGTGTCAGCATCCACACATCAGGGAGAATATTTGGCCTTGGCTTTTGGGGGATTGGCTTTTTTCACTTAGCATGATAGTCTCTGGCAAACGCCATAATTTCATTTCAGAAGCTGATTTTCTACAGTGATTTCTAGGATGCCTTTTGGTTCTTTTTTTTATTGGTTGTTCAAATCATTACAAAGCTCTTGACATATCATATTTCATACATTAGATTCAAGTGGGTTATGAACTCCCATTTTTACCCCAAATACAGATTGCGGAATCACATCGGT